CTGTGTGACTCTGTGTAGCTGCTGTGAGAGAGCAGATGGTGGGAGGTGATGAGGGAGGTGTTTGATAGGTCTGAAGGAGGAAGCTGTATTTAGGAATCTCCTCATTAAATGCAGCGATGTGATGAACAGTGGAACAGAGAGTAGAATAACCAGCTTTAACTAAAATACATTCTACTGCTGTCAGCTTTGCTCAGATCATTAAAGCCTCAGTAGAAATCAGTGCAGCTGTGCACTGTTAGAAATAAAGGTACCGGGCAGGTACATTTCTCGTTCATCAAGGTAAGTTATTTCCAGGTGAAAAGTTCATATTTGTATCTTTTTATAACCTAATATTTTAAAACAGAACAGTAAAATAAAAGCCTGGAGGCGAGACGGGGTGTGTGGAGTCAGTATAGCTTAGAAAATATCATGGTTCAGTTATGTTCCCTGACTAAAGGCACTGAGATGGACCCTTGAGGGTCCCACCCCAGTGATAAGAGCGGTACTGCCCCACTGACAGTTCTGAGAGTGGGCAGGCTGGAGTGGGTTTCTGCAGTAACAGGGTTTCTGTTGGAGATCCTGTTGTAGAAGATCATTAACTTAAAGCCTCTTTCTGTCCTTTTCTCTCCTTCATACATCGACAGCTTTTCTGAGTGGATACTGAGTTTATTCAGTGTAGCAGCTGCTCTGAATCTGTTCTTTTATCTGATCGGTTCTTCAGTGAGCTGCTTATTTCACATTAAACGTTTGTGCCACTAGAGTTAATAGAGGAATTGTAGACTAACTTCCAGTAGAGTCATAAACTTTATTAAAAAAGTTGCAAAAACAAGTTAAAGAATGAGATTAAATAATAATAAATAATAGCAGTTAGAAAAAACAGAACATTTAAAAAAGATAAATATGAGTGTTGAAAATATAGAAGCTTCAAGGAAAATATATTTATGAATGAACCAAAACTCAAATAAATTACACCTCTTTTCAAGTTACAAGTTACAATGAACAGACTGATTACACGTTTGATTATGGTGACAATCTGAAATGAGGACATATGATCAAATATATATGAGTCAATGTGCTGCTCAGGTGGGTCTTCAGTGTTAAATGAATGTGTTTCTCACAGAGTCCTCAGAAGAGCCCAAACGTTATGAACATAAAGAGAGTATTTTAATGGAGAGAAACGCACAGCTGATGGAAAAAGACAAACAAATTCAAGAGAAAGAAAAACTTCTGACCAAAAACACAGAGACACTTCAGATGAAGGACAAGATGCTGGAAGAGAAAGAAACACTCCTCACAGAGACAAAAGAAAAATTGGACCAAATGACCAAAGAGACTCAGACACAGCTTAAAGATAAAGACTCACAGCTGGAGACTCTGAGAAAAGAACTGCAGGACAAGAGCAGCAAACTACAGGAGATGATGGTCCTACTGGACCAACAGAGAACTGAACTCAGCCGTCAACAGAAAGAGTTAGAAGAGAAAGATCAACAACTTAAACACACAGGTAAGAATTTAAGACACAGACTGACTGTAAAATATCTGACTGATAAATTAATATTCTGTCTTTATCATTTCAGCACAACAGAATTCAGACCTACAGACTGAAACTGAAACACTGAAAAAGCTCATTTTATCACAGACGACTGGTGAGTTTCAGCTTTAAGCTCAGTCTTTATTAACTGTGTTCATTAATGAGAGTTGTATATGTGATGTAATGTAATGTAATGAGTCAGGTTTGTCTGACCACACTGAGCAAATTCTATGACCGAGTGAATTCAGCTTTTTCCAACTACGCAGTTCAACTGTGACATATTTTCCTGTTTCCTCTCGCTGTGGGAGCGAAGCAGACGCTGCTTCATTCCCTCCTGCATCTCACGCAAAACTGAAAAGCGTGTTTATTTGGATTTACTCAACACGAACACAGAGACAGATACAGAAGTGCTGGTTCATCGTAACGCTGTGGGTGGGTCATTGGGCCGGACTACAGGAGTGTGCTTTGTTGACTGTGGTGGTGTCAGATATGTGTGTAAATAACAAAAGGCCCTTTTATTGGCCAGAGCAGGTTCATATGCTGATTCTGATAATCTGAAAATGCTGACCATCGGCTCTGATCTCCAGTTGTGCTGATTATCGGTCGACCCCTAACAGACACATGTGTACCTGCTTCAGTTCTGCTGGAAAAGCATCCAGGAGCAGAGATTCTTTAGTGAGGAGAACTGACACTTAATGTCATGCAGGTCTGTCAGATGCTGGGGGCGCTCTCAAGCCGGTCCACAGTGAAAAGGTTCTTATAATGCCTTTATTAATGCTTAGTCAGGTTTATGAACTGCACTTGTTTTCACAACATAGAATGAGAAACTTCAACACTGCTGTTATTTTTAATGATGGGAGTGAAATGAACTGGCCAGACTCCTCTTAAACTCACACTGGCTTGAGAGAATATCAGGAGTGTTTAAAGCACAACAAGGCAAGAAAGTGAAACAACGGCAATTTAAATAACAAATAAATAAATAAATCAGGAGATATTTTTTATTTGTTTATACTTTTATGGTCTCTGCATAATTCTGTATATGCTATTTTACAGTTTTGATGTTTTCATTAAGATTGTAAAATGTGGAAAATAGTATAATTGAAAGAAAACATTCTGTAAGTAAGTTTGTCCAAACTTTTGACTGGTGGTGTAATTGTCATTAATTAATCTCTTCCATTAATTTCCTCATTTCAACTCCTGATTAATTCCAGACTGAAAGATAATTTTATAAATATGAGATTTTTGATGTGTTTAACACTTTTTGGTCTCTTGATGATTCTACATCTGTTCCTTCACTTTGAGTCAAAAATGTGGAAAATAGTAAAAATAAGGAAAATTATAAGTAGGTGTGTACAAAGTTTTGAGTGGTAGTGTAATTGTTATTAATCTCTACCATTCATGTTTTATGAATATATTTGACTCTTTATTTTCCAGTTGATTTTTTCCAGGCTTTTTGTAAAAGAGATAAAATCTATTCCACTTAAGTGTTTCCCTAACAGCTATTAAACTCACACTGCTGTTAAATCTCAGTACTGTGTATCTGTTAACTTTGCACACTGTGAACTGAGAAAGACTGAATTTCTATTTTCTTACAGATTTAACTGAAAAGACCAAACAGCTTAAAGAAACAAAACACATTCTCTCTGAGAGAGACAGACAGCTAATGGAGAGAGAAGAACAAGTGGAGGAGAAAGACAGACTTCTGACAGAAAACACAACAACACTTCAGATGAAGGAGAAGATTTTAGAAGAGAAAGACAAACTTCTCACAGAGACACAAGATGAACTGAGACAAACAACAAAGACCTTAGAGAGTCGTAGAAAACAAATGGAGGAAATGGAGAAAAGACTTGTGGAGAAAGATGAAGAATTAAAAGAAGAACTGAAAGATAAAGACAGGATTCTAAAAGAACATTTAGAGACAATTGATAAGAGAGATTCATTATTAAAGGAAACTAATGAAAGATTAGAAAGTGTTAATAAACAGCTTAAAGATAAAGACTCACAGCTGGAGAATCAGATCAAACTGCTGAGAGAGAAAGAGACTCTACTGGAGGTCACAGTGAAAGAGGTGGAGGAGAAGGAGAGACTTCTAAGAGAGAGAGACACACAGCTAATGGAAAGAGAGCAGCAGGTTGAGGAGAAAGACAGACTTCTAGAGGAGAGAAACAAGCAGCTGCAGGAGAGAACAGATCCAGACTCAGCAGCTCCAGCCAGGAGGAGAAACAGCAAAGAGGAGATTCCTCCAGACTGTAAGTAACTAATATTGTTGAATGAAGATGCTTAAAATGAGATTATTTGAAATATAAATGTGTACATTGTTATAAAATTTTGATCACACTGTAGATGTTTAATACATTAAAATACAGACGAATATTCCAAGAAAAATATGATTTAATATGAAACAAATATAATACTTGTCACTTGTGCAGTAATGTTTAGCTGTGCAAGAGTTTAGTGTTTGGAGTGAACAGCAAAACATTAAACAGCAAAACAAACTTTTTATAAATTTCCTGACATAAACTACTAAAACTATTTATCTTATTCAGCTCCGCCCATTTAAAAGCAGCAGCTCTTCAGATTTTTGTCTTTTATCTTCTGGTTTACGATGAGCGCCATCAGAAAACAGTGTTTCTCTACCTGAACCAGAAGAACAGACTTGTGTTCTTAGGAAGAACGTTCCTTGAAAGAACAACCTTTGAGAACCTATGAGAACAGAGAACATGTGTAGAACAGTTGGAGATGCTGTGTTCTCACTGTTTATACTGTGCAGTTCTGTGAGCTCAGCTGATTCACCAGCACTAACAGTAACTAGTCTACAAGTTCAGAATGTGATACAAGAAATCTAAAACACCACAATACAAATGATTCAATCCAGTCTGATGTGACGCTGATATAGAAACATGTTTTTATTGCTTTAATGAAGCCAAAGTTCATCATTTTATTGATACGACCTCTTCATCAGCCACTGGTGGCATTTTTATTGAATGCTCACAAACCAAGACAACAACAAACACCATAAGCCTGTTTTTTGAGTAGATTTATAGAACTGCAAAGTATGAAACTAAACTCAGTAAAAGTATTATAATGCAGCCTCACTGCAGGAGCTCTTTACTGAAAAGAGGAGCAGCTGAGCTGCTGATCCAGAGGAGATCCAGGTGGAAGAGAAAGAGACGCTACTCCCTATAATAACACTCCTCTTCAGCTGTGACTTACTGTGGTTCCTTCTTTAATAATTTAATAACTATAGCATAGAACACTTTTTAAATATAGTTAAATGCCTCCTCAGTGATCAACAGTCGCTGCCTCTAAATTAACAAGATGGAGGCACTAATGTTTCTTCTGTTTATAAGGTGAATCCAGAGTCAGTAACATAATCTCCTCTGTGCTGGTTGTTCTGTTTCATAGTGAGTGAAGAGATTCCAGAGTCTGCAGCACCACTCAGGAGAAGAGACAGTCTGCAGGACTTTCCTCCACTTAGTAAATGATTCCATTTATTTCCTAAACTGTCTTAAATATTTCTTTTTTATATATTTTAGTATAATAATTACATCACTGAACAAGAGATTTAATGCCTCATTGTTGTTGATTCACAGTGAGTGGAGAGTCCTCTAGTTCAGCCTCTCCAGAGTCAGTTCCTGTAGCAGAGCTCAGGCTGGTGCTGCTGGGGAGGACTGGATGTGGGAAGAGAGCAGCAGGAAACACCATCCTGGGCAGAGAGGAGAGGAGCCAGGCTGGAGCGTCTACAGTGAGGCAGCAGAGTGAGAGCAGACAGGGGGAGGTGGCTGGGAGGCAGGTGACTGTGGTGGACACTCCTGACTGGTTCTGTCCTGGACTCTCTCTGGAGGAGCTGAGACGGGACGTGGGACTCTGTGTCCGTCTGTCCGCCCCAGGACCCCACGCCTTCCTCCTAGTCGTACCAGTGAAGCGGTCTACAGGAGAGGAGGGAGGCATGCTGGAGAAAATGGAGGAGATCTTTGGAGAGAGATGTTGGAGGAACACCATGATCCTTTTCACTGTTACTGATGAAGCCCAAGAGAAGAACATTGAAGAGTTTATCCAGTCAGGAAACCAGGAGGTCCAGAGACTCGTAGAGAAATGTGGGAACAGGTTTCACTGTCTCAGCATTAAGGAGAGCGGAGATGGTTCTCAAACCTCAGAGCTGCTGGAGAAGATAGAGAAGATGGTGGAAGGAAACAGAGAGAAACTCTACAGCAGTGAGATCTACCTGGAGACACAATCTCAGATCAGAGCCATGGAGAGAAAGATAATGAAAGAAAGAGAAGAAAAGAAGCTAAAAGAAGAAAAAGAAATGAAGGAAAAACTAGAAAAGGAGGTGCAGAACTCTCTGAGGAAGGTAGAGGGAGCAGTACAAGAGCACGAAGGAGAGATAAAACAACTGAATGACCGAACAACTGAGCTAGAGAGAAGGATGAAAGAAGAGAGGGATGATGAGAAAAAGAGAGAACTGGAGCGAGAGCTGGAAAGAGAGTTAAAGCAAAGAACAGAAATGGAAGAAAAGGTGAAGAGACTAAAAGAAAAAAGAGAGAGAGAGAGGAGAGAGATGGTGGAGAGACACAGACAGGAGATGGAGGAGATCAGGGAGGCGTATGAAGGAGAAGCCAGAATGGAGGCAGAGAGGAACCTCATGAAGATCATCCTGCCTGAACTCCAGAGAAACATTCTGGCCTCAAAGTCAAAGATGCAGGAAGAGCTCAGCAGACAGATGGAGGAGAAGGACAGAGAGCTGGAGAGACTGAAAGACAGACTTTTAGAGCTCACAGAGACTCACAGTCTGCTGAAAGAAGCCTACCAGACTACAGTGATGATCATAGCAGATCCAGATCCAGAGCAGCATTCCTGAATGTACTGTGTCAAAATCATTCAGAGACCTTCACTTATTCAGTTCTTCTCAAAGCAGACATTAAGTACACGTTATTGATGTTTCAGTGTCAGAAAAACAAACAAAACGTAGTGTGACAGAAATATTAGGCAGCGAAGCACATTATTTAAAACCATATATCTAAGCATTAAGTGTATATGTGCTTCTGAAAACATCACATATCCTTAGAATAAACAAACATAAGTACAGTGAAAGTAAAAAGACGTTCTTGTGTTCAGGAAAGCAGCTGTTTGTGATGTAGGTTGAAAAACAACATTGGGTTCCAGATTTCTCCTCAGCTCCTCCAGCAATTA